AGAGCAGAGTTAACTGTGAGTAATCCCCAGTGGGAGGAGGCAGGGAAGAGGATGTGGATGCCTCTCCCATCCTCCCCTGTCTGATGAGGATACACCATTCAGCAAGGCAGGGCAAAACCTCCAGGAAATACATATAATGGGAGTCACTATTAAGCCTTAATCAGCTTCGAGAGAGCATTAAGACTTGGCTCATTTTTCCTTTTCATTTTAGTGATTTTGGCGATAAAATTACTTGGCTCTGAACACTTCAAAACGCCCTTTTCTACGCCACATAGGATACTGTCATGTTTTCCCTTGCAGTGTTTTCCATTCATTTGCACAAATTATCCTTTCTTCTTCTTTTAAATGATGCTAAAATAAACAATGAAAATATACAAAGGAACCTATATTCTCTGGAATAATTAGATACTATCCTTGAATACACAACCAAAGTCTGACATCCAATAAATCCAAGACAAAGCTTCAATTAGCCCAGATAATGCCCATAAACCCAGCAGTGCTTTACAAAGATATGTAAATGTCAGCACCTTTATTTTACACAGAGAAAATGGAGCGCTGAGAGCAGATGTGGTCAGATCACATCATGTCCAAGAATCCAGACCCCTTTATTCCCAGACTAATTTGCATTGCTTATAACAGTGTTCCTCCCCATACTAACCTTCAACTATGCAGTAACATACACCAACAGACAGGAAATATTGCCCTTAATCCTTTGGAAACAGCTGTCATTTTTCCATAAAACAACTGATTATACATTCATTCTGCTTATTTGCAAGTTTTGTAAAATGCTGCTCTTCTAATTAAAATATACCTCTAAAGATTTAAGAAAAAAAAAAAAATCAAGAACTTTTTCTTTTCTTAGGAAAAAAAAAATCAAGTTTTGGACAACAATGAAAAACATTTCACTGACTATCTTTGGCACTCAAAAGTAAAGTATTCAGAAATCCAAGATTTTATGCATCTTCATCTAATTTGAAAAATATAAATATCATTAAGCAACAAAAGCTGCTGAATGTAGAACAAGACACAGAAACAGCTGGGCTACAACTGAAGAGAGGTCCAGATACCCAGTGATTATTTTCTGTCCTTTGATAACATCACCTGCCCTCATAAAAGGACAGCAGACAGAGGGAGAAAACCAGACTGTGAGCCCATTTTGCAGATACAAACCAAAACTGCTCTTCCTGCACCAAAGCAGTTAACCAAGGCAGGCATACCAAGATTCAGAGAAAACTTTGGGTCACTTCAACAGTAACTCATGCTAATCTCTGACAATCCACAATCCAGCTTCATCCAGGTAAAACTACTGCAGAAATTTGGAGAGAGGAATCAGGCCTCTGCCACACTGCAGCATGCACCAATGAGCAGAGATGACCGGTGCAACAGAGGGTGAGCAGACAGAGTTAACAAGCACCATAGCACAAACAGTTCCTCAACAGAAAAAATAAACTGGGAAAGAAAAGAAAGTGGTTAGTCACGAGGGATTATAATAGCCCATAGTAAACAGTCCAGTTCATCAAATAAACAAAGCAAATACCCCATCCTGCAAGATGCTAGGGAATTCTTTGAAAGGAAGTGCAAGCTCACTGCTTTCAGTGCATTCAATCAGTGAGTTTGGTGATGAGAAGCCCCAGCTCCCACGAGGAAATATTGAACCTCTCAATGCGCCGAAGATGAACACAGCACATGGCTTACAACCCAGAACGCCTACAGCAAGGTTGTGCAAACACACACTCGATTTACCAGTGGATTTAGAGAGACTTGCAAAAGTAACTTCAAAAAACAAAATCTCTTTCATCTAACTGTAGGACCTTACCAGCTCCTATTTCTCAGTAACAAACTATTAGTGCCTTCTGTTCTGGATTTCAAAAATAAAAGCTCAGTGCTGCAAGGACTGCATCCTGCAGAGTCCCAGTTCAGCACATTAGGTTATACAGGAAAAGCCTCTGAAGGCTTTGGACCTGTATCTGTGGTTTAAGGAATGTGCAATTAAAATCAGCTGATCCTAAAGTGGCAGAAGGGTGGAGGCTGACAATAATAAACCACAAGCTCCTGTACAGTCATTTGAAAGCAGTGCCTTCTCCCCAGCTCTACCAGATACTAAATTAGAAACAGTTCTGGCAGCATTTTGTCTGCTGCTTGTGAAGCAAAAGGGAAGAGACTTGCTAAAATTCAGCTGACAGGTTTTTGCATTTACCCTAGGTTCAACCACACGCAAGCCTGTTGAGTGTGAAAAGTCCCTGCGCTGGCTTCAGTCAACAAGAAAGAAAAGGCCCAACCGAGCACAGTGCTGAGGGCCCTTCATTCACAAAAGCATACACTTCTCCATAAAAATGTCCTATCGGACTGCGTGTGGTAAGACTCTCAGACAAATTACCATAAGCAGCTACTGCTGGCAACTGCCAACAGTGAAATCAGTGGTGTGACCTTATCTGGACCATAACTATGTACGGAAGTGCTCAACACGATGAGCAAGATGCACTGGATAGGAGAGACCACATCCGCATTATCATTAAAACTCCTCCAGTTCCATGCTGCGCACTCAACAGTGCAACTTGCTGCCATTGTGGAGACAGTCACATGAAGCTCAATCACACAGCATTATTAAAACATCCATACATTTTAGCATAAATTTCCTATTTAAACCCACACTATGCACCCTGCTCTTGGCTTTCAAACCAGTATGGCTACACAAAACTGCCATGCAGATTCAGGGCCTTCTATTTCTTCTCTGTAAAAGTTTAACAACACACAAACTTCCAAACTTTTCCAGAGCCAATAGCTACTTCAGCTTCACAGCAGTAATGCTTTCTCCCTGCATAATGTTTGTTGTCAAACCAGGACAGGCAGGCACAGCAGATTCTGACGGATGCCTAAGGGAGAGAAATTAACCCAAAATTCTGTCCAAGTGAACCTCTGTCATATTATGCAGCCTCAGGATATAGACTCGTGACTTAACTAAATATACTTTTCCTACAGACTATTCCCTACAAACTATCGCTCCATGTTAATCATGCTTCTGAAGAGCATCTCTGCTCAGCACAGAATTTAATATGACAAACTAGGAGCTTATCACATCAACCAACATGCAATGCAGTTTGATAGGAAAGGCTGAGAGCCTGCTTCCAGCTAGCACGCCCTTTTCCAGGATTTTTAGATTCTTGCATGTATTTGCTAGAAAACACAACAGCAACAGGATAATAAGGGATACCAGAACTGAAGACAGGGCTGACAATACTGTGACCAACAAATCTGATCCTGCATTGAGAATTACATATGAAGATCAACAGAACCGAAGATTTGAGCAGGCACACTTTGATGATGGCAGAACGGAAAAACCTTAGAAATAGGAAGGAAAAGTCGAAGAGACAATTCAGGGTAAAAGGAGGTGATACAAGGAAAAACAGTTATCAAAAATATGGCTGGCTGAGGAACAGCTTGGAGGTATATAAAAGAGAAGCAAGAGCTTTATGAAAGGAATGGGGAGTAGAAAGGCAATTCAGCCAACTTGTTCCAAGGTGAAACCACATGTGAGACAAGTGAGGCACAGAAGCTTGTGGGATGGACATCCAGTGGGTCCTTCAAAAGTAGGCGTCTATTCCTCAGCTATCCATTAATGCAGGGAAGTGGATTCAATGACCCTGAGTGCTCCATCCAGTGTACGCCACTAATAGCAGGGGTCCCTCCCTATTGCCTAATACTGGATTATGCAAAAGACCATACAGAACTGCCAAGTCAGGACTTTGCATTATCATTCCACACCCCTACAGAGATTGCTGTGATAAAGCATTAGCCCTGGACACACCGCTCTCATTAACTCCTCCTCCTTCACGCTCACTCACCATTAAGGCTGGGCACACAGCTGATAAAGCCAGCCTCTGGTCTCCTTGTACTCACACAGCTGATACAGTGGGAAATGACAGCAATTCTAGCCCTCTTCAACTCCCAGTGACTCTGGCACAGCTGGATCTCCTTGAAGGTGAACTTTCAGCCTGCAGTGAAGTCATTCTTCTAAGCTAGGGGTCAACTTAGACTTGGAGATCCCTTTTGAGATGACACTAGCTCCAAGGACGCATTCGTGCTCTGTATGAGGAAGCTTTAATGCATTCCGTTGGACACAGAGCAGTACATGAGCTGAGGAAACTCTACAGGACCTGACTCCAAAACAAGAGTAGAACTCTTGTAAACTCAGAATGCTTGTACAGACTATCAAATTCAGGGCACATTTCCAGTACTGCCTGACCTAATCAACCCTCTTTGAAGAAAACAAGATGCTATAGTATTTGTTTTCTAAGCTGACTGCCAAAAAAGAAACTGCTATGACCCAAAGCAACAACCCAAGTCAAAGGAATGCTTCCAAAAACACAGTTCCAGCCTGAAAAAGTTTGCTGAACTCTTGAAATTTTTACCATCACACTGAATAAATTTTGAAGGTTACTGGTAGGCCATGTAAGAAAATGACTTCAGAAAGGGTGATTCTGACAACGTGGCCTACATTTCAGCTGCTCCCGAAAGTGGAATGTAAACTTCTAAGTAAACATACATTCCTGAGGCATACCCACATTCAACTTTCACAATAACATTTAAAATACCTTTGAAGAGTAGATGAGCCACTGTGGTCCCACTCTCAAGAGTGACAAGAAACACAAGAAAACAGCTAGCTGAAGTGCATGAGCTTGCAAAGAGCTCTTCATGGACAGAACCACACAAGCACGTGGAATTTAATGGCCAGTCCAGGCTGTTCTGGGATAAAACAACTAACAGGATGGGTAGCCCCCTGTCCTACAAAGATTCTGCAGAAACACAAATCCCCAGCCACACTGACTGCTTTGCAAGATAGAGACCTCCAAAATTAGCAGGCTTTGCATGGAATTATTCTCCTCAGTGTTAACAGGGCCGCTTATGTCAACAACCTGTCAGCACTGCAATTTCTTTCCAAATGGTAATCAAAATAACTATGCACACCTTCTTCAGTCTTCCATGTTCCAAACATTACTTACAGTTGTATGATGAGAGACGCTGCCTCCAATATTGAGGTTTTTGAGAAGCTGGGGAGATCCTCCATACTGCCCTGAGATCTGCTTCCTGACTTCAGCAGCTACAGTTCTGAAATGAGACAGGGACAACGTTATACCTCTGGAAAAGGATTACAATGAAGATGATATATCAAACATGCTTTACACTGCTCTTGGAATGAAACCAAATACTTAGTGCGCTGGTTGGAATAAGAGTATCACCAGCCAGCGAGAATAGACCTTGTATATTAAACTCCTGGAGAATCACAAAATTTTCACAAGGCTGCATATACACATTCTTAACAGGAATTACAATTTTTTTCCTTTTGTGAACTGCTCTTTTGTGCACATATGTGGCAATAAGATGCATGTGACACTGAGCACAAATAAACTTGTCCCCAGCAGGCTCTTTCCAGTTCCTACCAAGGAAAGCTCTCTTCCACCACTCCCCACACCCCTCAGCAGTTCCAAGCCTCGTCACACATCTGCTCCTATGCTCTGCTCTCTCATTTTCATCCCTTGACTATTTTTGGTTTTTGCAGTCACAGAGATGAGGACCAGCAGCCACTTTCCACCCAATATCCAACCCCTTCAACACCCAGCTCAGGGGCAAAAAAGTGGTCCCACGCAGAGTGAGTTGAAATGTCCAGGGAACGACACACGGGAAACAACTGACCAGGTCAGAACAAAAAACTGTTTCCCCTTTCACGTAGGAAAGGTAGTGGTGGGACTATGGTGACTAGCAGAGGGGACACGCAATGTACTGGCTAGCAGGACACAATGCCTTACAGCCTCTGCCAGAGAAATATCCCACCACTGGGCAACTTTTCTCACGAGGAAGGAAAAACACAGATCAATCCTTCCATGCCTGGAGGGTAAAATCCACACTGTGCCCCTCTGGAGTTTTCCGTTTTCCCCAATAAGCCACATTGTCACTGTTAAGCCTGAAAACACAACAGTTAGGTAAAACCACCATAGAAACATCTCAGCAAAGGAAGGGCATATCAGAGAGGGAAATGCCGATAGTCAAAGACTGTCTTAACAAACAGCCATGGGTCAAGCCCTAACACAACCATCCACAGTGCTCCACCTTGTAACCCAGCAGTAAGCTGCAGCTCACCTCAGCAGCAAAACTGGGACAAGTTTTTGAGTACGGTGGAAATGGTTTTGTTTTAAAAGCAAACCAAAAGCGCACATTCTTTTGATGAAAAAAACATTTTGCTGAAAAGCTGCTGACTACCCCTGGTCTACAGGACCTCACCAACATGAGAGTGCTCTTCTCCAGGAGTCAATGACCAATTTATTAGGCTCCCAACTGTCATTCACCGCCTCGCAGCACTGCAGTCCGCTCTGTCTCCCAGAACAAAGTCCCAGCTCCAAAGAGACGCTAACCAGTGCATAAGACAGATGAAAAGGCTGCAAGGACACGGGTGATTTTTTTTTTCTGCTGTATCAGTGATCTTTGTGGGAACAGCGTCATGGCTAACAGACTCGCTCCTGATCTCACTCAGGGGAACATGCTGTGTATCACGAGCTGCTAAAATCCTGTCAAGTAAAGATGGTTAAACCTCCCCTGAGCAAAACCGTGGCATCAGGGTGGGCTCCTAGCTTTAGGGCTGCTGTTGCAGTGAATGCTGGTGGGCAGGAATGGGGGCAGGTGGAGGCAACTGATGTTAATGGAAGAGAAAGGAACTCTAAAAGGGAACTAGCTGGGACAACCAAGCCCACCATGGAGAGCAGATGTTTCCTCAGGCCAGAGGATGGGAGTAAGATTAGCTAGAGGAAGCGTTATTTTGTCTTTTAGAAAAGTGGACTGCAGAAAGAAAAAAAAAGTTTTATGTATTCTGGTTGCAAGAAGTCATTTGCTTCATGTTTGCCTTTATCCACAGGAGACTATGTTTTCACTTCTGGAGGGTGGCTTCTGAAAGCAGACCAAACAGCTCCTGCTGGGGACGGACAACATTCAGGCTGTCTGATTGCCCTCAGAAAAACCATCTTCCCTGCTCCCACCATACGCACGCATACACTCACAGACATGCACACATGAGAACAAACCATGCATGCTGCTAGCATTTATAGGAAAATTTGGAATGTATTAAAATGGCTGCTTGGCATGGAAAACACTACGCATCTGTGGCTGATGAGATTTAAAAGCTTGCCCCCAGGTTGCAGACGATCTCCGCTTTAAACCCGATCTCTTACTCGGCACATGTTTTGTGTAATTCCTGACGATACGCAAAAGAGAGCCCTTCACCACATGGCTGGCAGGAAAAATCAGAACCCACATTTCACCATGCAGCACAACACAGGAAAAACTAAAAAATCTCTCCCCATTTTCAAGAGACATACATTGTTTCCAGACGGAAAGTATAGCTGGAGGAGGAAACCCAACCTCAGCTGTGAAACCACAGCCGATGGCTAGCCACGTTACTCAGCGCTGCTTCTCCGGCACACAGTGGCTCCTTATGAACCTGAGACATGCTTTGTGATAGACTCCAGAGGGGTTCTCAGTCCTTTCTTCTGCGTGTTGGCCTCAGCTGGGTGGCTCTGCAGTGTGCTGTATTTGGAGCACAGACTGTCAAAACACCCTGAACTCCAGCTACGATTGCGCTTTACCCCAACTTGAAGCAGAAGCAAGGTCAGCTGCAATTATAGCGTTGCTTAGGGGCACTATGAGTTTGCATGGATGCTATTACACTGCTCGACATCATCCCCGCTGAAAAGGTCATTTGGTGCAACAGGGCAAGAAACAAAAGGGTGGCACTGATCAGCACAGCTTCTAACCATGTGCTGTACATTGGTGGCTGCTCCATGTTGCTGCCCCATTAATAACCTCACTGGATATTAAAAATTCCCCTGAAGTGTGGTGACAGAAAGTCAGAACTGAACAACCTCCAATCAGTTTCAGCAAGACACCACCATTACTTTCAAGTCTTAAGAGGCCCTACCTCTCTAGCTTTCATAATTGCCAATCAAACCTCTCCCCACATGAAGTAACTGGCAACTGCCTAAACCTTGAAATTCCTGAGTAGAGTCTGCAGGACTTACTACTACTTACTCCAAGCCTGCAGTCTAATCCACAGCTCATGTTGGCTACCTGTCTATACCACTGCATTCACAAATGTATTGAGCACCATTTCCCCTACTGGAAAGCATCATGCTTCTGACATTTAGAAACCATCTTCTAATGTAATCTGATCACCAAGTGTATTTATGGGTAATCTATAGCCATTTGGTTTTGTGCCAACATCATCAGTTAGGTTCAATAGCCCTCCTCCCACTCCTTTCTACTCACAAGGTATTCACAAAACATCAGTCGTATCCCCTCCCAGCCTTCCTTCTGCAAGACTAAGCAAGGTCAGATCCTGCAACCTGCTTTCTGCTCCCTTGATCACCCTGATGGCTCTTCTCTGCATTTGTTCAGTTGGCAATCACACCTCTTAACACAGTGTGTTTCATCCTGATCACTCCAGATAAGGCCTGACCAGGGCTTTGTGGAACCAAATTAGTATTTTCCTACTGAGAAAACACCTCAGCTGACTACTTTTAGGACTGCTTTCTCACTGCTTCATCACAGAGGTTCACAGTTTCCCTAAAACTGATAATAGACTTGCCTTGTCCTCCTCCATTTCCAAAAGCTGTTTGTCCATGACAAATGCCATCTACTAATGACTAGTAAGTTCATGTTAAATTATAACCCTGAACAGTATTTCTAACTAGAAGCTATGCTTCCTAAACCAACTTAGGTTAAAAAGTGTACTACACCAAACACAACTAGGAAAGAGAAATAAATCTCAAAATAGTCTCCAAATGAAAAAAAAAAAAAATCCATTTGGCAGAAGAGCCATTAAAGCTCTTGATAATTAAAAGGACAAATAAAAAACTGCCTCTTTAATAACTATCTTATTATATTCAACATGTAACCTGGGATCCTTAGACAAACATTCCAGTTAATTACAGCGCACAGCCTCATGAATGTCTATGCTTAAAGTACATCTTCCCTAGTCACTTCCTTTCTGACCTTCACTGGTTAATTATTGTGTGTGCCTGTGGTTCACACCAAAACAAAAAAAGATGAGAGAAAAAAAAATCCCCCTGGAACTGGCTTCTAAAGCAAAACAAGACTGGTCATTCTCAAAGTACTCTGAGCTGCAAATAACAAAATGAAACCATTTGTTTGCACTTCCATGGTTCTTTACTACACACAAAAATAATTTCTGTTTCTGTGTGGCCCTACCCAGTCAAAACAAAAAATTGTTCCTTTTTTTTTTTTTTTTAGCTTAAGCAGCATACTGGAAGTATCAGCTCTTCTGTTCTGCCTCACCAAGAAAAGCCTCACCAAGACCCATCCAGTTATGCCAAGCAAGGTTAAGAACTCTTCCCTTTCACAGAAAAGGTACATCAGAATACAGTCATCTAGATCATCTGCTCCAGTGATTTGAGGAAGTGTCTCTTTTCCATAGCCCTCCCCATTTTGAAAGAGCAATGCAAATTAAACTTTTCTCCCAATCCCGCTAATTACAAAGCTGTTACTCCTGCCTGTTCTTCATCTTATGTGTCACGTGCAGTTACTCTACATTCAGCGAGCCTTTGCCTCTTGAGAAAGACAGCCTGGTACAGCGAGGCATCTGCCCCAATCCATAGCAAAGCTGCTTGTTCTCTCTCAGCAGCAGAGAAAACTGTATTTACATAGTTTACTTTTTAAAATGAAAGCATCCCCCTTTGTTCAGCTGGCTCGCTTGCATACAACTCTGCACATGGCTGGAGGCATCTATCCTACTGGACTCACTACGCTTGGGTCTGAATCCCGAAAGCCAAACAGCACTGGCCAGTTGTGTCCATCTTGCTAGTGCAGTGGAGATGACCTGCCCCTCTGTCCCTACGTGCTCCTCCTGGGCTCTCCTGCCTCTGGGCCTGCTCCATCCAGGCTTGAACCACGGTGTGAGTCACCAGGTATGCATCGTGGTGGATGAGAGAACCTGCTTGAGGAAGAGCTCTGGCCTTGAGCTACCCTGCCGGTTCAGCCGTGCCCTGGATGCAGCCTTCTTCCTAAACCCGAGGTCCTGTTTCCTTCGGAGTGAACTCCTTCCCCTT